GACACATGAATTCAAATGTGAATTATAAAGGAAACTGATAAATCGTAAACTATGTCATATCAAGTTCTCTGCATATTTGCCAATATACATTTAGTTTTGAGCCCGATTCGAACGATACGACAAGCAATCTGCGAAAGAAGTGGTGCAATTAAAAGTTTCCCCTTGACCAGTAAATTACTAGTTGGCAATCCCCCACCCCTGATAGTAGACACATCAAAGCATTGATTTATAATTAATATTATTTGTGTGGCAAGTTAAGTTTTGTTGTGAATTAAGCTGTTTCTAACCGACATGTAAATTACATATCTCGCTTTGCACATTCTAAGCGTTTGTCGTTGCCTTCTTACTAAAATTGAATGTGAGTTTAGCAGACGGCCCTAACTTGTATCACGACAACTAATTCATTTTCGCTCTTCAGTCCTTCATCTATCTCCCCATATTATAATTTTTTAATTTGAAGTTTACACGATATACGGCTTTTCCATTGGACGAGAGGTCGGTCACATGACCGCGAAATTGACGTTCATAAGTGTATGAACGACACAATTTGACGTTCATACGTTTTTCACGAGACCGTGTTCATGAAATGACGTAATCACTGACGGATACTTCCAAATTTCTGGGGAAACCCCTCGGAATTCCCTAGTACGAAAACATACATAAGCGCTCTTTCCGATCATTTTGAACCTTTACCGACACAGGTTCATTAACAACTTCGGAAATCTCTCCCGTCACGTTTATCGTGTCGGCCATTTTGACGTCTAGTACTTGAAGTAAATGTATTACGACGCACTGTCATTGTGACTGACTTACTGAGGTAGTTCTTTACAGAACTTTCTCATCTAATGGGGATATGATTTGAACACGTGCTGCGTAAGATATTAGCCTACGTCCTTTGAGGTAAGAAATTGTGATAAAAAATTATAAGAATTGACTTTCACTTTGTGTGAGTTCATTGGAGTATGAACCTTCATATTGAGGCATATTGAAGAACCTGTATACGGAACAACTCACCAGGTGTTGTTCAATAAGTAATGATATTTGGTATATGTGTAGACAGAAGTGGGGTTCAACATGTGTTTTACGATATCTCATATTTCACCTTGATTTTACCTCTGCACATCTACCATTCTACCATAATGAAAGCTCAAATTTCTTAAGGTCATTACTTAGCCATTTGCTTTCAAAATATATTGATATATGTGATCTCAAGACACATGTTCTATGTTTTGCAAAATGTTAAGTTTGGACCTGTATTTCACCTTTGAATTTTGACCATGTTCGTATTATCTCTAGAAGTGTTTTTTCTTGTTCTATAAACGACATCTCCTCAGTACAACCACTTACCCAGTGACAACGGAATCTTCATATGCTTTCTTCTGAATTTATTCTGGAGGTTCGATTTTCAATATAGTTACCATGTTATATATGTCCACTGTGCAGCTATTTCTGCTCACAATGTACTATTATGCTTTGACATAACTTTGGCATGTAAGGTTCTTTTATGGTGACATTTTGTTTGGATCATTTTATTGTGAACAATTGGAAACATTGTATGGCATTCAACTGAGAAGGCATTTAAGGCTCAGGCTTGAAACTTTGTGTACAGTAAATTAAACTGTTGTAGATCATGTTTTACAATGCTACATGTGTTCTGTCGGATTTATCATTTTAGCTACTTGCTTTGTGTCTTCGGGAAACATACCTTAGAAGTACAGACAAATTTGATAATAGGCAGTGTAGTTGATATCATTCATATTCCCCTACAGGTGACAAATACATTGGAGGGTCATCTATCTTGGTGAGACAGGGAAAAGTACTTCCGCCGACATCCTACAGTTCATAATTTAGATCGAGTAACTATGCCCCGAAAATCAACAGCCGCATTCTGATGTCCAAGGTCTGGAACATGATACAAAAAATCAAAAACAAAGAATCAGATTCTTCTGTTCATCATCTTAAGGAAGGTGATCAGTTATTGACTGATGAATCAGATATTGCCAATAAACTTGGTGAAACTTTGGCTAAACATTCGTCCTCGTCTAATTATGTCCTAGAATTGAATATATATCAGAAACTTGAGGAAAAGATAAGTATTAATTTTAACCCTGATAAGGGGGAAGACTGGAATGAAGTATGTTCTTTCAGTGAGCTACATACGTTACCGAAGGCTGATAGTATTCACTGTCAGCTCCTGAAGCATTTGCCTAAATCATGTCTCGAAACCCTTTAAGATATATTTGACCAAACATGGACGTCCGGGATTTGTCCTCCTTTGTGGCATAATGCCATTGTAGATCTCTAAAATTACCTCCCTGTATCTTGAACCATCTTGAAGGTGAGTTTGGTACTTAGTTGGGGGGGGGGGGGGGGGGGAATGAATATGCTTTGAAGGTTATATCCCATTAGTTAGACGTCCCAATTGTTAGACATTTTTCTTTAGGCAAAGAGGGAATATACCTACCGGTGTAATGGATCAGTCCTAATTAGATTAAGTACTGAGTAGGGATAGGGGACTCATAGTTTAGGGAGTATATATGTTACAATTTCATTTAATTAACTTAAATTACCTAACTCTCAGCACAGGTTCAATAGGCATGAGATTAACTATGTAAACTGTGGAGTAGCTTAATTGTCTTACTGTATGATCAGTTGAAGTAGTTGAGTTTAGATTATCTGATTATCAAACAAATGAAAATGATCTGCTATTGAGTATTTAGATGCTTGTGGACACTTGCTTCGTCTGGGATAAATAAACTGTAAAGTTATTAAATGTAAAGTGCACATTACCAGAAACTGTCACAAAGTGTTGTTACAAACTGTATAAAATTTATCAAATGTAAAGTGCCATTAAATGTCAAGTATAATATTAAAGTATCTATTTAAAGCTGCTTTGCTTTGTTTGTCAGATCTTATCTGGACTATTCCATTTTAAAGTCTGAGGTAACAAGCATAAGGATTAGTGTGCACTCAACCGTTTATAGTGTTGTAATAAGCTGTCTAACTATTGGGACGTCTAACTAATGGGAGGACACCGCTTCGAAAGTAGGACCAATAGGCTTTCGTACTTGGGACTCAAAACTAGTCTGACTGGGGTCTTTATTAATGGGACATTCGGCAACGATTTGCAAGAGGGATCAAACTGTAACAACTGAAGGTCTAGACAACAATATCGATTATATCGATACTGATGGTAACATACAAATGCGGATTTTATTTTGGCAGGTTATTCTAAATGTACACTTTACTTATAGCAACTATGTAAATAGTTTGGAGTTAACATTTCTATTTTCTATCGTTGCAATATATGATGTAAATCAAAACTTCGGTGTCTTGGTGTATATTTCTCAGCGATATAAAAACAATAATTAAAAATGCAAAAAATGTTGCAAGCCTCAAATTACAAACGCATTATTAAAACATAAGTGAGATCCACCATTTGCAACCATTTACAGAGACTTATTTCTGTCTCAAGATAAAAGATTGAGTTCGTGATGCTACATCTTTATTTTTAAAGTACAAATTATAATAAGGAGCACAACATCGAGCATCAATTAAAGTTAATCTCAAGTAAAATCTAGAAAAGGGTTTGAAAGTAAACAGAAACATACTGTTTTCATTGATAAATTCCTATATCCGTTGAACAACTTGATACCCAAATTGTATTACAGTACTTCATTATGACGCTGGAAATCTTTTGACAAGGTAAACACAATTTTATGGATTACAACTTCTTTAATACTGTAAAAAGCGACGTTTCGGTATACATCCTTATACCCTTGTTAAGCAAGACTGAATGAGGAACATAGTACAGAATATATGTAGTAGGATTAACAGTAGAGGATTAAAAGCAACAACATTTGCATATATGAGTGGGATAACATAGGTAGGTGTTGACACCAAGGGGATAATACTGTCACAACACGATGGACAGAGAACACATATGTGGAAGCCAACAGGAGCATGAAGCCAATTAAACAGGATAAGTTATTATTGCTTGATGAGTTCATAGTAGGCGGATGGGAAGAAATAGGCTTGATCTTTGATGATTGATGGCTCGTTTGATGAGGATGGAGATGATGCCAGTCTTGGTTCTAAGGTGGTGGTTGGAGTTGAAGTGGATACACTGGTCGGTTAGGGTGGGCTTCCGGTAGACACTGGTTTGGATTCTGTTTGTTAGGCTTCAAAACCAGAATGAAAGAGCACAAAACCTCCACCATTAAATCCGACAGTAAATCAGCCATTTCGGACCATATCAGCAACTGTCCTAATCACAGAGCTCGTTTTTTAAGTTTCATCTTAAATATGAAAAACCTTGCTTAACGACTGCAAATATATCCACAAGTTATTCATTGTGCGTTTTGATGGCTAATACTTATCCATGTCACATATTCGTGCAAGCAAAAAATAAAGCAGGAAAACAGGCACATACACTTTATAATCCACCATTACACATTTCAACCCCACCCTCCCAACCATGTGAAGAGTTGCGTTCCTTTGGCGTTGCCAGAATCCTATGACTGTGGACGTGGGTTTGATTACCATTTTCATCCTGATTTTCGCTTTTGACTTGTCAGCATTTGTTATTCGCCAAAGTAGTTTTTTGGCATTGCTACGGGCTTTCCTCCCACATTAACCTGACACGCAGTGACATAATTTAAATGATGTTGTGACTGAATGCTATTCAAAGAGGCGTAAACACAACACAATCAGATAAATGTTGCATCAAGCAGTAACTAATATTCACATAACATTCTTGTGTAAGTAAATTTTACCTTATATAGAAATTATATGTTAAGAATATTTAGTTGGACTATGATTTATTCGATGTCAGAACGAAATTGTGGCATATATCACTTTGAAAGGAGGTCACAGTGGCATCCTACTGGTAGGACAATTGTCACCACTTGTCTTCGATGGATGCAATTACATTAATCTAATTGGATCTGACTACCATACATAACAAAGACCTTTACGTATGTACATTGATTGATTTTTAAATGTTTTAACATACACAAAGTCAAAACTATGGACATTTTTTAAATACTTTAGGTTATAAAAGCTCTATGAAAACAACAACTCATCGTTGAAATCACGTTCTCTGACTGACTGATACTATACATTATGTGCTGATCATTTCTTATTATGTACTTGAAACACAGACACTTCTATCACGTTCTAAACTTGGTGACTTGACAGCTATTTGCAGTAATAATACACAGCTTCAGAGGTAGGTCTTAAGCCGAAGGACACCTCCAGTTTCTGCACAATTTTTACAAAGGTAGGTCTTGATTGAGGATTCTTCTCCCAACAACTGCCCATCATGTTGTAGTGGCTGAAAATATAACCAAAAAATGCACAATATGGCAGGTCCGAGTATAAAACTATTTATAACTAAAATATCTTTGGAGTATAATTAATACTTAGATGACGGTTAGTGTATTTTGTCAAGTCTTTTTTACTTTGATCAATAAAGAAAAGTATGGCCGAGTAGATCAAAGGGGGATTAAAGCCATTCTTAGAATGGACATTCCAAATGTAGTAAACGTTCACATTTTTATTATTTCTAATTGTCAGGGGGCTGAATGCCTTGGATCAGGGTGTTAATTAATGTGAATAAAGAAATGATATACAATGTAGTAAATGTTCACAGTTTTATTATTAACAGCTAGATATAATTAACGAGAGACAATATAAAGTGACAACGTCCTTTGTCACAGGCAAAGATCTCTAATACATTAACAATGAAGGGATATGCAAGCTCGTTAACTAAGCTTTGTTTGTTTGTTTGTTGTTTAACGCCGCGATCAGCAATATATCAGCTATATGACGGCGGTCTGTAAAATAATCGACTCTGGACCAGACAATCCAGTGATTGACATCATGAGCATCAATCCAGGCAATTTGGATCGATGACGTGTATCAACCAAGTCAGCGAGCCTGACCACCCGATCCTGTTAGTCGCCTTTTACGACAAGCATAGTCGCCTTCAACGGCAAGTATGGGCTGCTGAAGACCTATTCTACCCCGGATATTCACGTTAACTAAGCAGCCGTGTACCAGCTATTACAAAAGATGGGTAAAACAACACTCTGACCAGTCAATCAGCCAGACACATAGAAACCAGATTAAGTGTGAGACCAATGATCACTCGGGAGTTTTGCTGTGCACTTCCTAATGAGTTGGCAACCAAATTTGACTAAATCTGGACAAATTGGCACTGTGGGCCTGTCCCTAAAACCGTCTCTTGGACGAAAAACGAAATATTTGACTTCCAGAGTATGCAAGTACTTGACCTACAGGTACTTTACTTCCAACAATAAAAAGGTACTTGACCTAAGCTAGATTATCCTGAAAGGTAGAAATTAGTTGTTCACGCAAGCAAGGAGTACATTATTCAAATATGATACCCTAGATTGTAAGTTTTGCAGTCACGACAGGGGTAAGTCAGTATAAGATCCAAACTGCCCAGTGACCACCTGCTGTCGAAATTAAGTTCGACCGATCACACAGTAACTGAGCGACCCGTCAAGGTCTTACGATTCCTGGAGATAAAGTCACTTAGTAGCGCTGAGCTATTTAAGCTTGACTGGCCTCGGAGAAAGCTATAATCGCAAGCTGCCCGTGAACGCCGTCTAGCCCCTCAAGCGAACAGAAATGTGCTTTCTTCAGTAGTGAAACACGAATTGTAAACTAACTACAAAACCAATACAAAAACAAATAAAGGACTGATACACAGTATTACCCACGCGTACCATTGAACAGTTACAGCCAGATATGTACAATTAGTAGGATGGCAAACTTAACTATAACTATATGAGAAATCCCGCTAATGCGTGAACATCAAAATTATGAAACACGTTCAACATGTGAATATGCTTGTACTCGCATGGGAGATAGCATATATAAAATCAACACATGATGAGAGTATAAGATTAAACTGTTAGAGATTGAAATTTACGGACAACAAATTCTCAAGCGCTTGCCCAAGTGAACACAAAGTCAAAGATCTTCAGTCGTGCGGCTGATCATGAGGAGAGGAGGGATGCTCCCTCCGAGCTGGACCACAACGAGCTGGGGTTTAACTCCCGGTGACACTTATTTTATCCCATTAATTATGCAAAGCGCCAGGCAAGGTTACATCTATCTTTAAACGTCTTTTGGTATGCATCTTCAGGAGCATCGAACCACCGACATTCCACTCTTCGGACAGATGCTCATATCCACATCACCACGGGGGCGGTCTTTGTCGAGAGAGGGAGTTTAAATATAATATCAACAAAATTTAATTTACTTCATTTAACTTCTTTGAGGGGCATTTGGAAGTATATCATTTCGTAAATAGCTGGGACACAGGTGTGAAGACTTGCATCACTTTTGGCGTTCTCCCATATAAAGGTCACAAGTCGCGATATAACTGAAATACTGTTTAAAGCGGCGAAAAACTTAACTCAAGTCCTTAAACACATATTTACTCTGACTCATTCCTGCAAGTGTTGTCATCAATCACTTACATGTCTTCAGCATACTCAGGTCTGGGGAGTCTGTAACCGTTCCTGATTTTGGCAGGTAGATCTCTGCTTCGAATGTCAGGATATGGCGTCTGACCTGATATTGATAAACATTATTTAAACCTCAAAGACATCGATGTATCACGAATAGTATTGTCGAATCGTAAATAACTCATCAGAACGTCGCGCACACAAAGGTCGTTTCTAACCATACACCCCCGTGATGATCCGGAGTAGAATAGATCTTTAGCAACCCATGCTTGTTGAAAGAGGCGACTGACGGGACCAAGTGGTCAGGCTAGCTGACTTGGTTGGTTCATGTCATCGTATCCCAATTGCGTATCCCGATGCTCATAATGTCAATCACTGGGTTATCTGGTCCAGACTCGATAATTTACAGACCGCCGTCATATAGCTGGAATATTGCTGAGTGCGGCGTTAAACAACAAATAAATAAATTAATAAATTCTAACAATTAACAAATCATTTTATTGATAGGTGTGTTTGCATTTTTAGTAAGCACATTCGTACCCACGTGTGCATTTGACCACAGTGCATGAAGTTCATTATGTGAAACATAAAAGTATGTTAATGCAAATGCTGTCGTCCATTTCATCCTTTCGTTACGCCATAAGTACCTAGAGAATAGACCCTTGAAGACCCGGGGTAGAATAGATCTTCAGCAACCCTTGCTTGTCGTAAAAGGCGACTAACAGGATCGGGTGGTCAGGCTCGCTAACTTGGTTGATGCACGTCATCGATCCCAATTGCGTGGATCGATGCTCATGATATTAATCACTGGATTGTCTTATCCAGACTCGATTATTTACAGACCACCGTCATATAGCTGGAATCATGCTGAGTGCGGCGTTAAACAGCAAACCAACCAAATAAAGAACAGCTACTCTCATCAACATGATGACCATTTCAACAAGTAAACCTCGGATCTAAACGGTCAAGCCTATTCTTCAATCAATCAATCAATCATTATTTCAGTACTGAAAAGAACATAGGCCTATAGTACATATATACATATAGTAGCAATGGGTGCAATAGGAATTACATATATCGTAACTAAATATCATCTGTAATGCAAAGGATCATAGCATGGTATATATAGATTGCAAGATATTTTGTGACTGTTTGATTTTGAGATGACATGAGCATATGAAATTTGTCTATTCTAGGATTCAGATAAAATATGTATGTATGTATTTTTTTCTGATATTTGCATACAATGGACAGACCACCAAAAAATGGTATTCATCTTCTTTATTATGACAAGTACAATATTTGCACAATATGTTTTCTCTTTTATCGCTTAATATCTACATTTTTCTGTTAGAAAGTCATTGGAACTACATCCGAAACGGGGTAGTGCTGTTAGGAATTTCTTAACATTTATGTCCAAAAGATATTTTTCAGTAAGAATGAAAGATTTAAAACACGAGTTATGATTTAACTGAAAAGTACCACGTGTAATTACACCCGCAAGATTGCAGAATCGTTTTGACACCCGAGACCAAGTTATGTTTACCTCTACTATCGTAACGCATCATCATGGTATAGCATTTCTTTTGGAATCTGGTGCTTGGCATTGTAAACAATTTTATCCATTATCTTATTATTTTTATGTGACTAAATATATATACATTGGGCATGTCCCACATTCCCCATAAACTGTAACATTTGGCGTGTTGGAATTTACCCCTAAAATCTTTGACACGCATTTAGATGTACCTTTTCAATTGTATCATAGTTTTCTAGACCATCCACTGATTGACATCATGAGCATCGATCCAAGCAATTGGAATACGATGACATGCATCAACCAAGTCAGCGAGCCTGATCGCCCGATCCCGTTAGTCGCCTCTTACAAACACAGTCGCCTTTTACAGCAAGCATGGGTTGCTGAAGACCTCTTCTACCCTGGATCTTCACTGTTCTGTGGAGTCTAGTCGTTGAGTTGTATATTAGAAAAGTATTTCTTGGGTACATAATTATCTTTTCTTTCTTTGACAAGAACATTACGAAACGGTTCCATAACAGAATCATTAGAACCCTAAAAATTGATAGTTCGTAAGGTATAATTTCATTTAATTCTATTTCTCAGACCCAAACCATTTCTGCTTGATCTTCAATGATCCATGGAACTTCATGTATAGAATTATTTTTGTCAACTTTATTTTATTCATTTAATTAGGCACATACATGTGTCATATACACACACAAACATTTTATACTTACACACAATTCAAATACATTTTTCAAACAAAGTCATGATATCAAGAAAAACAGATACAGTAACATACATTATTGATTACAGGTAAAAGTTGAGTTGGCCATTTCTCCTCGAACACTATATAATTGTTTTCTTGCTTGCAAAATAATATCTGTTATGATTATTTCTTATCTTTGATACTTGAGATGAAGATCTATACTGCAACTGTCACGAGAAACGGTTTCATGAGATCATAGCAGCTTACAGTTCCCAACAGTATTGCAATATTATTTGATATACCTACCCATGCTAAGTATCTCCCACATAGTGATGCCAAAGGACCAGATGTCACTCTTCTCGTTGGCTTCCTTCAGAGACTGAAGACACTCTGGAGCCGTCCACTTCACAGGGATTCGATCCTGAAACATCAGTTCGTTTTAATGAGAAGTGTAAGCATGACTTGTTTAGAAGCTATCAATAATTATTTGTTACGAATGTGAAGAATTAATGTGACAATACGGAGAAAATCCCACATAGTCAACCTCATCAACATCCAAATTTTCGTCCTTGTCCTCATTCTCTCCCTCGTCTACATCCACACGTCCGCAACCTCATTCTCATCCATTTCCACGTCCACTTTCAGTTCCATGTTCTATGAGACTTAATTATCCACGTCCATATCAACAACAACGTCAACACTTTTATCCACATCCACGTTCATGTCCACTTTCAGTTATATGTTCTATGAGACGTCCATATCAACAACAACGTCCACAATTATATCCACATCCACGTTCATGTCCACTTTCAGTTCTATGTTCTATGAGACGTCCATGTCAACAACAACGTCCACAATTATATCCACATCCACGTCCATGTCCACTTTCAGTTCTATGTTCTATGAGACGTCCATATCAACAACAACGTCCACAATTATATCCACATCCACGTTCATGTTCACTTTCAGTTCTATGTTCTATGAGACGTCCATATCAACAACAACGTCCACAATTATATCCACATCCACGTTCATGTCCACTTTCAGTTCTATGTTCAAATACACGTCATCATCCACGATCACATCCACGGTGCTTTGGAACTAAAGGTTATCAGCAGACTACCCCTGCCTGTGACATCACATCTGGTGACCTTTGCACTTACTGAAATATTGCTCTCAGATTTCACGATCGTTATTTTCATAGACAAATGACAAATGAAACATTCTTCAATTGAGAAGATCGTCAACATTCGCCAGTGCATACTGAGGAAGGCAATGTAAATTTAGTAAATATTCAACCAAAACACTTGAAATTAGGATTGGTGAATATTTATGGTCATTAATTGTTTCCTACAAATTTTATAACGTGACACTTTGGTTTCTCCAAGTTGTCGTCACGATATGGCTGAAATATTGCCGATGTGACGTTCAATCATAACTCACTCACTCACTCACTAAGATTTCTGCAACTAACTTGACGACCTCGAAAATTGAGGGTTTTTTTCTGTTTAACGTTTGGATAATAAGATTACCGAAAGGGTTCTTAGTTTACCATCGCGCCGTTATTTGCCAATTAAAAAATCGAATTTATACTTAGTTAAAATCAAGATAGCGGAGATATGATTATTAAGATATATTTGCACAAGTTTAACGATTGGAAAAGCAAACCACTTTCAATAACGTAAACCAAGTAAGTTTACACATTTTGTATTCGCTTTGTTAACTTAACCTTGGTAAAATTGAAAACATCAGGATACTTTTACATAGTAATGTGTAGTTTTCTTTCGGGAATAAATGTGCCAATCTGCCAATAAATATATCTTCAATTGGCCCATGTTAATGAAGCACCGACTGTTTGAAATCGTTCACCCCTATAGCGCCTTGTGCTAAAACAATTCAGCAGGCTGAAGATTAATGGATAACATCTGTTAACTTTTAATTTACTTACCAATTTCTAGAATGCCAATCAAACATTCATCCTTTATTCTCATTTTCATTCTCATATACACCCACAGCGTTACAAAGACATTGCTCTAAAATAACGGGATTTCAAAGTAATTTCGAACAAAGTCACACTCCTTCAGAGGACCATATCATTGGTGATAAAATTGTTAATAACATAATTTCAAAGATATTTAATCTTGTTTCATTCCAATTCCGTGCCCGTGGGATTTCAATGTAGATGTTGGTATTAATCAAATATGAAAATGGAATCCAAAGTATTGGTATGGTAGTCGGCTTACCGCTTTTGCATTGTTGGTGTTGTCATCGTCGTTGGTGTCGTCCATGCAGCTCGGCCCAAATCCACTGATCTTCACCTCGTATAAAAATGTTACCAGGCAGTTCCGAGCAGCCAGTTTTCGGTGAACAATCTACACAATAAAATATACATGTTTTTTTTAGGAAGGGGTAAGCGTGACACATAGTGGTTGGAGTCCCTGCTGTGCAGAGTTCCGTTCCCCAGACTTCCCAGAATTCGTTGATCGTTGGACCGAATCCTTGTCTCGCCCTGAGTATGACCTTCAGTCTGTCAGCAACAAGCCAGAGTTCGTGGATATCAACAAATGGGTAAATGAATCCCACCAATACCACCTTGGGGTTTTCTGCCATATCAACCAGGCCCAAAGATACAATAGTCGAAAAGCTGTTGTGTTGACCCAGGATCTGATACGTGCCTGTTGTGACGTACAGCCCATGTAAACTAACGAAATGTGCCATGATCTTTGCTCTAAGTTATGATTATCCAAATGTGCAGAATAGTTATAAATGTCTATGATGAAAGTAATTAATTACTTAAAGTATTATCTGTGTTGGAACGATTCCTCACCACTGCAGCTGCCTGGTATGTGGCAGATACACTAACTTCTAAGCAAGAATCTCTGGTTAGGAAAGCATCTGAAGGAAACACATACCTCTTTATTGGCCAGAAATTCCATTCCTCTGGCAACACCCAAGACAAACATCTGAATCCTCTCCAGAACGTCCATGTCCACTTTGTCCCGATTGTCCTTGAGCCACGTGTCCAGCTGACCATTTTCACAGTACTCTAAGACCATCATTGGGCCGACTGAAAGAGTGAGTGGGGGAGCGTGTGATCGAGTGACCGTGTGAATGATGTATCGCGCTTCATCAGCAATCTTGCCATTCGCGACGACCGAAAGAAGATATGTAGCTCGTGTTAATAGACACGGTGGATTAAGAAGCAGATAGCCAGGGCCAGGGACAATGACTAGGGAGGGGTAAATCCTGCTTTATTGATATTCCAGATGACAACAACTTGATCATACAATGATTGAATGAACGTTTCACGCAGTAGGAAGATATTCAAGCTATATCATGATTGCCAGCAAACACGAGCAACGATAAGGTAGCGATACGCCTGAACATGAGGTGTTGGGGACCAAGTCTGCCTCGGAAACCAACTGGCCGTAAGGAGATGATTATAAGGTGAATTGGGGTTTATCGCAGCGTTTAAGATTATTGCACTTACGTGTTTTTTTAAACGGCGTGCATGTCTGTGTAATACTGCTTGTAGTCCAACCTTACAGTGCAATCTCATTGAAATGGACATTACATTCTTATGCCCATCATGGCGAGCGCCAGACAAGTAACAGTAATTAACATCTTTCAAACTCTGGTAGGACACATCTTCCCGAGGCAAAGAGAGTTAACTGACAATAAAAGTCCACTTTCCACCCTTGCCGAACTAGGATGGTATTATGGAGTTACATTTTGGCTGGACTAACGAGTCTATGCATTGTCCAATAAAAATCGCGTAACGAAATCGAAATCCGGTTCGTAAACTGTCATGCAGATTTCGGTCGATTGGTCCTTGGGAGTGGCTTAAAAGGGACAATAACTCGTAATAGCCACTGGTGGCGCTAAGATCGAGCCCAGGAATTCCATCCCAGTTTGGCAAGGGTGGAAATTGGACTTTTAAAGTCAGTTAACTCTCTTACATCGGGAAGATGGGTTGGACAGGGCCAGGGAATGAATCACCGACCTTTCGCTGTTCCGGCAGGTTCTCTGTCCACAAGGTGGCTCAGTCGAGGGGAACATGATCACACCATGTATAATCGTGTAAGTTCTTTCCAACTTTAAACGCATATTTCCAGCTCCATTCATGCGTACAAATAACACTCACGTGCATCGTTGTTGACAACAGCGCCAAGAAATCTCAGCACGTTGCGATGTTCTCCGACCTGTGTTGCAGCAAAGTTGATCTTGGCCATCATCAACAACTTGTTTTCTTCATCTGGTGTATCTGTAATGTTACCGATCATTAAAGCCAATGAAGGTGAGCAGTTAAATCCCGTCAAACCGGACAGTGCCATTGTTGGTTAAACCGTCCTGGTTAATTAATTTCCTGATTGATAAATCGTTTGTGAGTAATAATCTCCCTACTATACACGTTTTCTGTCAGTATAACTCATCTGGAGGTCTGGATTTCTGATTTAATGAAGTCTGGTCTAAAGAAGTTCTCCTATTTTGCTGTTGTTTAACGCCACAATGTCATTAATATAAGAGCTTTAAATCGGAGAGATACTTCTTAGCATGAAGATCTGAGTACACATCGGGCCAGGTTGTATAAAGCACATCCTTCATTATATATACACATTGACAATAACGTTATTTCCGAAGGAGGTGAATGTGAGTTACACGTGATAAGAAAGATAATGGAGTGTAGAGTAAAAATACATTAGTTGTCGTTATACAAGTAGTATCTCTAACCTTTAAGTTACTTTCAATTTAGTAAAGAAGATGACGACAAACACTAAGAATATGCAGAGCGAGATATGTTTAGTTACATGTAGGTGTGAAACAGATTATTCACAACAAAACAATATTAAATCAATGCTTTGATGTGTTTACTATCAGGGGTAAGGGGGTGACAGATTTGCCCCACTAATTGTGCAGATTGCTTCCCTCACTAATAATGCACTGGTCAGTGAGAAACCTTTTATTGCACAACTAAGTACGCAGATTGCTTCCCCCACTACTGATGCATTGGTCAGTGGGAAACCTTTGTCTCCTAATCATACCTGCAGATGAGTCAGCGGCGTAGTTGGGTGGTGGACAGTCGCCATGCCAAAGCAATAATTACTGTACTAGTAAGGGCTTTTAACATTCACCTTTGAACCTACTATTAATGTACCCGAGACTTAACAGACATGCTGCCTAAATAAGCAGTTGTGGACCCTCAGACGGACTTGAGTTGTTCATGCCGAAATCATCACTTAGATCACTAAACTCTAAATGTGACACTACTGTGATTACCTCTGATAACCTTTGCTGCCACTTCGCTCGCTGTTTTTCCGGATTTGTGAGAAGCTTTATACATTTGTGCAAATCTTCCAGTGTGAAGCTTGTCCTTTAAGGTTAGGTCTTCCATGGATATGTGCCATGTCTGAGCCGTGGCGAACGTCATGCCGCCGTAGAGGTAGATGTCTTCGTCGTCGTATGCATTGTTCTGTGAGGGACATAAGTTTCAAACCATCAGTCGATGGGTGAAAGAGCAATTAATGTTCAGTTAAGAATCAATGCTAGCATGTGACAATTTGTGCATTCATTTGAGGGATATAAACACAACTGGTACGCGAAACAATGCCCACTGTCAAACCAATACTGAATGTAACTTACTCTGTGTTTATCAGTTTCTCACATCCTATTGTCCGATATATTTAACTGTGCATTGCGGAATGATGTGGGATCTCAATAAACTTGGCAACATGGTTTAATTAGACTTCTTGGCGTCTGTCGAAATTCCACTGACAGATTACATATCCTAAAACTGACTTATCAGCAAATCACATTGCTTTACATGGAACAAATCCTATAGCAAGGCATACCAGGACAGCCAATAATACAAAGGAAGCCTAGGTCATCACGTGCGTCAGGGGACCGGTGCCATGCGACTGGCCTTTAACATTTGTGCAATAGTTGACATAGAGAATCTCATGCGAGTGTCTTTTGAAATCAAATATATCAACACTAGTTGATAAAAGTGGGAAAACTCCGAGGCTTGCCGAAGACTTTTTTCCACTTTTATCAACGAGTGTTGATATATTTGATATCAAAAGACACGAGGGTGAGATTTTATTTATCATCCAACATCATTCTTCCAACTTTTTCAGTTTGTAGAAAGTTATAAGCAGTGTCTTAAGTGTAAAAAGTACTGCTAACAGCTTCAGTAGCAGAGCCATTAGTCATGTCATTTGATTGTGACGTCATGGTAATCAATGACGTCACAATGGTCTGCAATGTTTGATCTCAAATAAGCGATATCTCCTGTGGGAGCCAGTTTGGATGATAAATCATTTTGTCATATTTGTTCCCAGGGAATAATGTTCATCCAAAAAGTAAAAAAAACCTATCCTATCAATTAGTGACGTGGATGCGCCATCTTGATTGGATGACAGAAAACTGTTACCAAGGATACATTAGATCACGGGGACAGACAAGTCGAACAGCGACGTAAGCCCATGATGACCTGTACTATATCGAAGAATTGTGTGCCTGTGGTCTTTTAGCAAAGCTTCTTAATTACATTACCAGATTTTCGCACGGTTGGCCCGTTGTCCTCTACAGTGATAAAGCAGAAAGGGGCCCGAGGTCAGGTTCTGTGACCAGACCGATTACGTGGCGTCGTCTTCCAGATGACATGGATCATTAGTCTGACCTTCATTCGCTGTTTTTGTCTGATCCCGACTCCATTAATAATCAACCGCCGTTCTAAAGCTGTATGAATGTTAAATATGGTGTTGATCACGCTTTCACTCATCACTGTATCTTCTACCTGATAGGACAAAACTCCTCCTCTATTTTTTGAAGTTCCAAGATTGTTGGTGATCCTCCCAGTCACGTTTCCTTCACGTCGACTTTGTCTGTTCTCACGTTGCTTGATGAGCACCGCCAGCCTGCCGGTCCTCCACAGCAGGAACACAGCTCCCAGCGCAACAAGTATGAGGAGAAGCGCTGGGGAATACATGTTGTCAGAGGCATTACTCAAGGAAAGTAAACGATCCAAAATATGGAATAAAACAGTTTAGTTAAATTTATCTCACAAATGTTTCTCAGCACAGTTCTGGCCATTTAAGGTGCCAGAGCATTTTGTGTTCAGAAGTGTTTGTCTTTGTCCCAGAATTTCAAGGAAGAGTTATCTTTCTTTGCCTAACCAGTTCCTTCATGGCTGCGAAATAAAGCCTGTTGACCTTATCACCTGGCAAATAAGCTGATCTTGCCTTTCATCTTCAATAAATATTTATATATTTTTATTTTTTTATTATAGTAATTTAATCATGAACAGCTGCTCATACCTATAACAATTCCTGCTACAGCGCCTGCACCAATGCCTGACAGATCCGCTGTAAGTGCACAATTCAAACATTTGAATGGCATGATGTAACGTGTAAAAACGCAATATGTAATAGGAGTTGCATCTTGTTCGCTGGAGTTATCTCCCTTATAGTTGTCGCCCTTTGATGTCTGGCGTAATTCTACTTAAGAAGAGAGTCGTTCTTATGATATAACATAGCTACGCGATAAATCGCAAAGAACAATGGAGAACGAGGTGTGGATTATTTCACGATAATATATTGTGTTATCATGATTCATTTCTGGAGATTCGAATATGCGCTTGCAACACGCAGACGTCGAGTATTGGACGACGTTATTTTTGTGTGTTGAAACATTTAGAACGAAATCAGAATAGAACTTACATGTGGTGAAATATGATGATTTTGGTACACTCTTAATGTCTCCATACTCTGCTGTTACAGAGACTCTGTATTTGGTGCCGGGCTCAAGGCCTACGATGTCGTAAGATTTAGCGTCTTTGAAGACCTGCACAGGATCAGACGCTCCCGAGTCCCACTCGTAGCTGACCAAGATGGCGGTCCTCTCGTAACAGCTTGGGGCGTGGTCCCAGGTAACACGCACCGTTGTGTCCCTCACCCTCTCTGTTTTCACATTCTCAAGGCCGAAGACTAGAAAAAAAGGCCCGGCAAACGTCACAAAAAGTCCAAGAGAGTCGTATTTCTAATCTCAAGTATGGTCCAAATTATATTAGACAAGAGTGTGACACCAATTTCACCAGCACTGTCTGAATTGTAATATTTAATGAAGGGTGGAATAATTTTGTCTGTTGGTTATTTCACGCCGGATTCAGGGCTGTATTCCAGCCGTATGTAAATAATAGAGTCTGGATGAGACGATTCATTGATTGCCATGGGAATAGATCCACACAACTAGGATTCGATGACATGCATTCAACCAAGCAACGGTGATTGACCACCCAATCCATATTGTCTTAAAACGAGCATAGGTTGATGGGGACCTAGATATACTTGACCCGTGAAGATCCGGGGTAGAATTCGTCTTCAGCAATCCATGATTGCCATAAAAGGCGACTATGCTTGTCGTAAGAGGCGACTAACGGGATCGGGTGGTCAAAGTTCGCTGACTTGGTCGATACATGTCGTCGATCCCAATTGCGTGGATCGATGCTCATGATATCAATCACTGGATTGTCTGTTCTAGACTCGATTATTTACAGACCGTCGTCATATAGCTGGAATATTGCTGAGTGCGGCATAAACAACAAATAAACCAAACAAACGAAACTATATATTCTTACTCGGAACCCTGATGGTTTGAATGGTATTTTAAGATGGTGTAAAATCAGTATTAAAGGTACAATTTATAAGGATGTCATGCACAAAAATTAATCATGCATAATATTATGGAAAGTAAAGGGGGAGGGTAGAGGGGTGTTGCGTTGAAATGTCAAGTATTATATTTTTAAATCGCTGTAGAATTCTTAAATAATGGTATAATGGTACCACTTACATGCTTCTGTTCCGTTGAGCTGCATGAGATTCCTTATCTATGATAATGAAATAGTGTAATGATTATTCGAATTACCAGATTGGATTTGTGGTAACTACAACTCGTACCACCTGTTTATATAACCGTTACGTTGGTTGCATTCACAACGTAACAATGGTCTTAATTAACTAGATTTTACGAGCGCTTCCAGTTGAGACGACAGTCAGTAATGACATTCTATTGTTTAACACTTTAATATAAAAGGCACATCAACCGGTTCGCAATGTGCAAATCTGCTATTCTCTTTGTAGTTCAAATGTTTTCCAGTACTCACCGGGTGCACCCTGCGTGTCGTCAACCCCGCCCTGTTGACCACGCCCACCTCCATCTGAACATGGGCAGTCTCGAGGGCGTCCTTGGCCACCATCAGCCAGCAGTTGCTGATGAACAGTTTGTACACTCGTTTGTAACACACGTTCAGGGCGTTAGGGCAGTAGCAGTCATGTACTCTGTCCGTGCATTTGTGCGGCTGCAGTGATTACAATCACGTGAACACTTATGTACATTCAATTGAAAAAGAAGATGGACGGGTTCTTGGTCCCACAATGTATTTTTTATGAATTACTAATAATAAGAATAATATTAAGCTTTAAAGCATGAATACGAGGCACATATAGCAGCGTTTCGAAAGGACATATATGGACTCATGAATGTTTAATTTAATATGCGTAACATTATAGAACGTGATTTTTAAAACAAACACCATTAAATATGATAATAATTTGACAATAATGTCTCAACTATCATATAATATGTTAGCGCCTATGATATGCATAGCTTCACGATTCCATCATTAAAAAGGCTGTATTCACCAGAATAGAAGCAATCGTCAAGTTCTTGTGGGTCATTAAATGGCCGTCACCAATCTCTGTGACTTTGACTGCAAGGTGATCAATCCCGCTCTCCTGGTCTTTCATTGTCACCTCTAACCTGTGAACCGTGGGAACATTAAAAGCAAAATACTATATTCATTTTCAATTCGGAGAACGAGATCTAGACTTGGTTGAAGCAGATATCCCGAATGACCAATGACATTTTTTCTGTCCCAATATCCAACGACCTTAGACTCAAAAACAGAATGGTAGGTTTCACAAAAAAACGAAAACTTCTAAGACATGAGTGAAATTGTGTGACTTGCTATAATATTAATACTGTTCAACGAGTCGTTAAACCCAGCTCAAAGTTTCTCTTTCCAAGATTGTTAAATTATGGATTGAGAGTTAATTACAAGCTTTCCATCTGAAGGATGACTGCATATTCCACTGGTTTAATCATTTCCTTCAAACCCTACTAGCCAATATCACAATACGCTCAACATAAAATTCAGCAAAAACATGTATAAGAGTATAGTTTAATCAATATGTTTACCCTGAGCTGAAAGGGATGGTTGATAGTTCGTTTTGATGGAATGTCATTTTGCTGAACTGTGGTTCAGTCAAGTCATAGGTTACTCTTGTGAAGTCCACTTTCTTGTTGTCGACAACGTCCCTGGCCCTTATCCACACAGTAACGGTGCTCCCGCTGGTAACGTTGTCTGAAATATGCGAAACGTCATAAATCCGGACATCTATGCTCCAGGTGAAATCGTCCGTATTGACAAAATTCAGTGTTAACGAATCACGAGTTTCTGTAATATCATGAAAAACGGGGTTACGGATAGTCGGGGTCCGAATGACGATACATTGATGTACCCTATGTGATAACAAGTTGAAGCAATTCACAGAACATTCGCAGAAGGTATTTGTCCAGGGTCAATGCATTGTTCAGACTCAAGATCGATCATACGATACATGCACATAAAGAAAAAACATCGTCTTTGCCTAAATGTCACACAAAATGCATAAAATGAAGTAGTTGTTTCATAGCTATCTTGAACAATTGATGACCTACTGTGTATAATGTACTCACCAAGTTCTTTTTGCATTGTAGTGTTCAGACCAGGGATCTCATCCCAGTTGGGAGGTGTGGCTTGTGTGCTACCCCCTGTCTTATTAACAGCATGTGTCCACTCAAACCTCACAATGCCACGTACATTGGGGATAGCTGCTATGGTTCTTCTGCCATAATGATCATCATTTTCATACGTCACTTCCTTGTAGATTGGTGGATTTTCTACAACCTTTACCTTGAAGGGGAGGATGTTGTTGAGGAATTTACCACTTTCATGGACATAATTGAGAAAATGGTTTTGCCAGTTGATCACTAGTGGCTTGGAGGCATCGGTCATCCACTGGAAGCCCTGGTCTTGTACGGCAGATGATATGAACAGGGCATGGTTTGGATCAGTGGTCACTTCTGACTCTTTGTCGTACAGTGCAAACCTTCTCATGTATACAGAGTTATTGGCCTTGTCCACGGCTTCAAGGACGAAGGAGTACATCCCTGGTCTTGTGGGGGCATAGGGAAGAGGGTTGGAGATGGGATCGGTGTGGTCAACTTGTCTGTGAACAACAGGTCTCAGTTTGTCTACTTCCGTCAAGCTTCCGTTCCCAGTGGGTTCAAGTTTGAAGGCTTCCCATGTGTATTTGTCCATTCCAGATTTAGCATCGGTCCACCCTTCCCACTTCATGGTGACTGGCATCTATATAAAGCACACAACAATAAATTTTCTTTATCCAATTCCTTACAGGATGACAGAATGTCATCAAACCTTTTCCTGAAACAAGAAAATGATTATCAAGACTTTTGTATTTTGTATTCAAAAGTCCTGGCAAGTATTTAAAATCATTGTGTTGTTTGTTTTGTAAAAAATAAATGGAAAGGTTTAAAGTCAACTATTTGGAAGCTGAATGAAACTGTTTGCTTTTTATAACCAAACATTTCTATATATTCAAAATCATCGATAAAAGTTAGCTGCAATCAACGAAAGTTTGGGACACATATATACCAGTTTCGATTGTCAGTGTTTGAAGAACTCATTTAACAATAGAAAGTTAACAATGTCACTTGGTTACAAAGGTCAAGGACACAATATTGTGTATGACTCACAGCGAAACATGTAAATAGTACGAATTCGGAAATTTCTGCCAAACCCAACTATTTGAAATTGAGCAAAAGGCACCGCAGACGTCCCAAGCACAGATATGGAAACCGATCCTGCAAGGCCAGTCGGTCTAGTATCCTGGCTAAATAGTTTCACAATTTACATCTCTAAAGTGACCAAACCTTGTAAAATGCCTCAGCTGTGTCCCAGTCAGCCCCTGACTTTCAGCATATTATACTATTGTTTTAATAATGCTAATACTTATCCCAGTAATTTCCCCAGACTCACGATGGTTCATTCTGATTCGGTCGCCGATTGACAAGGGCGACGCCACCTTTGTTTGTAAGTACTGAAAGTAGTACCTACCTGATCTTTCATATTTGCATCTTTATCCATAATGGCCCCAACGGATACCGTTTTTATCGGTTGGCTTTATTGCCGAAATCCTTCCCATTATATGATAAAAACCAGTATGCGGTAAAACAACCGATATCATCACTGTGATCTTTGAATCACTTACCTAGCTTTTTTCAAACGATGCGGTTTTTAGTAGCTTAGAAAGACACTGCCATCTCTCCAAAAGGCCATGCATTACTCCTATGTAATCGAATTTCAATTAATTATAATCATTGGGCAATTCTTACCGTCACATGGTTTCAGTACAAAACCAATGTCTTATCGCAGATATGCCTTTGTTGAAGGTCGTTTTCACATTGGTTAACTAATGTTGAGTCCAAAAGAAATTCGCCTGATGGTATAATGATTATACATTTATGCTGTATGTGAGGTTAAGAGTACGATAAACAGTCTTACATTTGTGAATTCTGGGTGAATCTGAAAAGCATCACTGGGGCTGTTGTACACCGGTTCACCCGTGTCAACGTGGAAGGCTACAGTGCTGACAGCATCCTCTCCGGTATAGTGTTGTGTGGCTGTAGTACCTGTTCCGACTAGCTTCCGGAAGCCACCACTTGAAACTCGGAAGGTCAAGGTCAACCTTGATAAACACATATTTGGTTTAGAGGCATTGGTTTTCAGAAAGTACGTTGGATTTTTTACCATAATTCATTCTGTGGAGTTGCGTCCCTTACGCATCCCAGGGTCTAATGATCGTGACCTCGAATCCTTAATGCGCACTCTTTCCCCCTCGGTTTGTGAGTATCTTACCAATGTCATGAGTTTCATCAGATCATGACTTTGTAGTACTACACTACTGCTCACAACTTACTTACCTCTGTATCGCACTACAGTGCAAGACTGCGGAACTCGGTACATTTGCGGAAGTAAAGTAGTATGTTTTCCGCTTTGTATTGCTGTGGTGTCGCCAAACTCTCATAAATAATTTCCAATGAAAAGATGTAAGTACTTGTGAGCAACAGTGTAATGTACAGTTATCATGTAGGGCATTTGGGGAATATGTATTGTCACGTCCTTATGGTCATATACATATTAACACTGAAGGGAGGAGTAAGGTAAAGTGGGTTGACCACAAAAACACACACACACACACACACACACACACACACACACACACACACACACACACACACACACACACACACACACAAACACACACACACACACACACACATTGCAAGGCCACTGTAGATGTAGCGGTATGACTTACTTGTCACCATCTGTCAAAGGATTAGTGTAATTTGTAGTAAAGGTACAGGTGACAGTTTCCTTGGGGTTTTCGGAGCCAACCGTATCATCACACTGGTGTTCCTTGTCTTGTGAGGATATATCAGGGCCACCTTGCCAAAACATAAATACGTTACATGAATGTACTTCATTTTAGACAACGATAATAACGCGGCAGCGGGAACGGTTGTTGGCTTATTTGCACTGAGTGAGTGAGTATGGTTTTACGCCGCTTTCAGCAATATTCCCGCAATATCACGGCGGGGGACACCAGAAATGGGCTTCACACATTGTACCCATGTCGGGAATCGAACCCTGGTCTTCGGCGTGACGAGCGAACGCTTTAACCACTAGGCTACCCGACCGCCCCTATTTGCAGTGAGTGATTGAGTTAGTGATTGAAATAGGAAACACACTGAATGATGGATGTACGTACACCTAGGGAAAACACTGGACAGAACCTAGACTTGAAAGTACTTTCACTTTGTTAACATGCCTTTCGCGAACACCTGGTGTCAGATCATAACCGTAAAGGCCGTAAGCGTAAAAGCCAAAATAGCAGTGAACACTATATAAATGGATCAGTCGCTAAAAATCAGCAAGAATTCGATCACTACTGATTACTTACTCAATTTGAAAAATGCTCTCGCAATTCCAGTCTTAGCTTCGGGGATATAAGCAGGGGGATATGGCAGATCTCTGCCTTTAAACATAGCACTGGCCGTCACGTTCAGCTTGTTCAGTTGTTGGCGATTTGTCCATACGATGACCTTTTCCTTCTCCTCCGTGCCATCTGCTATGAGGCTATAGATGTCCTTGCTCATCTGACCGTCATCTTCCATGTATGAAAACTGTGCCCGTATCTGTGTGACCTCAGGTACCTGGGTCTCCTTTACTGTATGATGAAATATCATTCAAATGAATCCAATAATATTAATACATTCACTGGAATGTGTCAATGCACACTTTCAACATTGACTCCTTGTCACTACCTTGACGTATATGTGAGCGGTTGCGACTGAGACTTCAGGCAAAGGCATTTTTAAGGAATGACCCTGTGGAATATTTTACATCCGTATCTTATCTGGAGTGGTAAACGTCTGAGACCTGCATCACCTCGGGCTTTCCTCCCACATTAAGCTGACACGCCGTGATATGACTGGAATAATGTTAAAAGCGGCGTTAAACCCAACTCACTCACTCACTCATGCTGAACGTATTAAATGCGAAAAAACAGTTTCTTTCAATGTAACTAAGCGTCCACAAATGTGTATTGCAGCATCCCACATCAATGATATGCTAGCTGAAGTGCCAGTACAATTCATCATTTAGGTCAATCAACTGCGTCACATAAATTAGATGGTCCTGTAGAAATTTAACATCTTACTAATCATATGTTTAAATTAGTTTAATTGTGACGGACTATTTTGTTGCAGTGTAGAAGACTGTCGTAAGAGGCGACTAACGGGATCGGGTGGTCAGGCTCGCTGACTTGGTTGATACATATCATCGATCCCAAGTGCACGGTTCGATGCTCATGATGTCAATCACTGGATTGTCTGGTCCAGGCTCGATTATTTACAGACCGCCGTCATATAGCTGGAATATTGCTGAGTGCGGCGTTAAACAACCAACTAACCAGTGTGGAAGACACAAATAATGAACAGAAAGAAAACTGTCCTCGATTATTGATTCTAAAGATGTAAGTGTAATAACTACTGTATACCTGTGTGTACACTGTCTATCCATTAGACACATGAAGACAAAGTGAAGGCAGTGTTTTGAAATGTCAATAATATTTCCTTGCCCACGTGTCAGTTGGCATAATATCAAAACTGACTCACGACGTATGCAAAACGTTCCATCGAAGTCATCCATACAGTTGCAGACAACCGCAGCACCATTTCCTTGGCATTCTCCTGGATAGCATGGTCGCTCATTATTACAGTCGACTGGAAACAATTAATTTTAGATCTTTGCTGTATAATAATTTTCAAGGAAACACAATGATATTGATTAAATACCAAATCCTTCAAAACGATTATGACCTTCTCGTGGTGAATTTTGTAAGTGTTGCAGAACGTGCTCAATTCAACAAAACCGACACGGTGTTTATAAATCTTTCTGCATACAATAACACAATATAAAAACCATGTATAATTTATTTATAAGGACACGTTTTTGAGTAAACGATATACTCTGATACAATTTCGATCGAGTTGATATTGTACAACACGAACCACTATCGCACTTACGTCCAGTGCATGTCGCTCCAGTATATCCGCTCCTGCAGCTGCACCTTCCTGGGGACGTGCATGTACCTCCATTACTGCACCCAGGGTAGCAGATTGCTGAAAGCAATTCAGCAGAGAGTGTGTTGTAATATTACCAGCGAGAAACTACAATGTACGTCTTGACTATAGATTAAGTAAGACGAGTTCTATGGGTATCCAACTTCTTTATTACAATTAGTGCGACGTTTCGGTGTAGATCCTAACACCTTTATCAAGCAAGTGCAAGTTATTCATCCATAGAACTCGTCTTACTTCATCACACCAACTTCCAAATGCCACTGAAAGAAGTTGACTATGGATTAAGTAAGACGAGTTCTATGGATGAACAACTTCTTTATTACAATTAGTGCGACGTTTCGGTGTAGATCCTAACACCTTTATCAGGTACTTGCTGGATAAAGGTGTTAGGATCTACACCGAAACGTCGCACTAATTGTACTTGCTTGATAAAGGTGTTAGGATCTACACCGAAACGTCGCACTAATTGTAATAAAGAAGTTGTTCATCCACAGAACTCGTCTTACTTCATCACACCAACTTCTAAATGCCACTGAAAGAAGTTGACTATGGATGATGTTCACCACAATGTCATCAGCTTCTGCAACATCTAACTTAATGAAGTTATGGTGCATGTCTGTATGCAACAATTCCAGCTTGCCCATGTCCTCTCATCAAACAGACTCACATTTGTATGATATTGTGACTTTCTATATTGAGTACTTTACAAAAGAAACGACAAAGTGGCTGTTGTATTTAACAGGCCTTTAAACGACGTAAGGCCAAGGCAATGCACGGGTGAAGTTGCTGTTATATGACTTTTGGAAACTGCTCCAAAACAAAAAAGGTAATGTTTCATCGAAGTGAACTAATTGTGATTTTAAGGTCATTTCACAACATACCATTCATCAGTCTGAAAATGTTATCTTTTCCCACGTGTTCACTGACCTAACAAGTGAAGAACTGTATTTCAAAAAGAAAAGCAAACAGAGCTAATTCTTCATTTTGAAATACTTCAGAAGCCCGACCCGTGAAGATCCGGGGTAGAAAAGGTCTTCAGCAACCCATACTTGCCGTAAAAGGCCACTATGCTTGTCGTAAGAGGCGACTAACAGGATCGGGTGGTCAGGCTCGCTGACTTGGTTGAAGCATGTCATCGATCCCAATAGCGTGGATCGATGCACATGATGCCAATCACTGGATTGTCTGGTCCAGACTCGATTATTTACAGACCGCCGTCATACAGTTGGAATATTGCTGAATGCGGTGTTAAACAACAACAAACAACAACAACAACTTCAGAAGCACATGCTTGTACATAAATGGCATGACATCTGCATATAAGTCATTTTCACTGTGAACATGCATTTATCTGACCTATTCATATTTTCTAAAACCATACAAACCGATATTGCAGTTTTCATCTCCATCGTCCCTCCACCCGGGACAACACTTGTACACTGTAGTGTAAATGGGTTGGTGTACCAATGCGTGAGCACAGCAACTGAAACATGGAATATTGATAGCATTAATATCAAAGTATGCACTCTGGTTGAAGATCTCTCCAATCTTTGTTTGCACCGAGAGACAATAGTCCACAATCACTTGACATTGTTTTGGGACACTACTTCTAGCTATAGTCTATGTTCGGGACAAAGCTGATCGCTGGTTCCTGTTGATAAACATGACCATGTTTCAAAGTGAAAATCAAGGAAACCCGAAATATATTACTATCCCTGTAGTTAGTCCGTGGCAACATGTTCACAAAAGCGACAAAGTCCTTTCGATGATAATAAACAATGGTAAATATAGAAACGGAAACCTACCCCCACCACCAACAGGGACAACTACACACGTAGCTTGATGTGTATGAGACAATAGTGTAGGGACATGCATGTCTGAAAGAAGAACATTCATGTTATTATTAATTAAATAAATATGTTTCCCCCAATATAATACTATGCTTGCAACAGTATTCGATTACCTCCTCTGTTGATTGAGTCACCGGTGTCAGAGCTCCGGGGAATTTTCCTGAATATAAATGTTCATGATCTCACCAAGGAATGTAAACAGCGTGAATATGTCAATCATGCATTAGGAAAGATCGTAAGTGAAAATGGGCATCACGCTCGAACTATTCAAAGATGCCATGTTGGATCGTACACACTATTCATCTACATTTAGTGATTATGTGACTATTCAGGAACAACCTCTATTGATTACGTTATTGTATCCAGCAACCTTTTTTTATAAATGTGACAACTTTAGCGTGGTTTCATGTGGCGAGTCCGTTCATTTGCCGATCTCGTGCACGTGTCAGTCACGGGATCATCCTAACTTTGAACCCACCCACTGTAGGACTTTTTCAATAGAAGAATCCGACTCTTGTGTTCTGAAAAAGCTTTAGTTGAAATTAATGGCTATGTGCATTTATTTACCAGCACTATGTAACGCTGCGGAATCAATGAAGATGAAGTTATCTTGTATCCTTAACAATCAAATGATAATGAATGTTCTCATATTATAGGACGAAAAGAGACAGGCTGCTTAAATGTTTTAGGTGTTGCAAGGGTAATGTCTCATTACAATTGTACATCAAATCTCGGAATATATACTCACAGGCAAAAGAAACGCAAGTCGAGTATGCAGTATAAATGTTATTTATTTTCAACAGTAGAGACACGAAATACTAATATGGCAAGATTCACAACAATTTGACTGAAGACAGCTTAATGGATTAAAGGCAGATGACATAAAAAAAAATTCAAATGTTAAGGGCTTACACAGTTTCGGGTCAATACCCAAAATGTCAGTCAATACCTGGTGTGACAACCATTAGCATTAATCACTGCCACACATCTCCTGTACATTGAGTGGATCAGATTTGTGAAGGCCCTAGGGATCCTCCTGCACACATCCAGAGCAGCTGTCCGTAGTTCATCGGCAGTTGTAGGGACTGGGCGCACATTGTGTAGACGCCTTTTAACCTCATCCCACATGTGTTCGATGGGGTTCAGATCAGGGCTGAGGGCTGGACACGGTAGAGCACGGATGTTGTGTTGTTGCAGAAAGGCCATGGTAGCTCTGGCAACACGGGGACGAGCGTTGTCCTGCTGGAAAATATGTTGTTGATGTTGTGCAACGTGGGGTCTGATCACTTGGTCGATATACCGTTGAGCAGTGAAGCCGTGTCCCCGACCTTGACCAACATTCAGAAAGCATATGGGTCCAAGCTTCGCATTAAGTCAAATCCGTGCCCATATCATGACGCTAGGTCCACCCCATGGATCCCTTTCCACAACGTTTCTGTCTGCGAAACGATTTCCTCGACGCCGACAAATTCTGACTCTTCCGTCTGCATGGGAGATACAAAAGCGTCTTTCATCAGAGAAGATGACACGCCTCCACTCACGATGACGCCAATTTTGATGACCCTGTGTCCACTGAAGTCGTGCTTGTCGATGCCGTGGTTGGAGAACAGGACGACGTGCTGGTCGGCGACATCTGAGGTTGTTGGTACGGAGACGTCGAATCACAGGGTCCCGGCTAATGTGTCGATTATATGTTCCTATGGTCTTTCGAGCACTTGCAGTTAGGAACGGATGTCGCTGGTGTTGACGGGTAATCTGTCGATCTTGTTGAGGTGTGGTGACCCTAGGACGACCGCTCCGAGGAAGCTCATCTGTGGTCTGTGTAGCACTGTATCGATGCAGGAGACGGTAAATTGTGGATATGTTAACGTTGAAATGACGGCCTTGGACAGACTCTCCAGCTTCCAAACGTCCGATAGCCTGGTTTCTCTGAATTTGAGTTAGGCGTGGCATTGTTGACCAAGGAGTGGTAGGTCCAAGCATCGGCCACAGTTTTATACCCACTACAGTTTGTGACAGTGATTTCGCGAGAAATGGGTGCATGATACCCACATATTCATTGAAATGGTGCATTTTGGCGATTCGTTTTTTATGTTGCGTTTTTACTCGGGGCTTCCAAAATGCAACCAAAAATACTGATAACACCATCAGGCTTCACAAAATGCTAAAACTCGTATCAATTTATGGTTCCGTGCTTGTTACCTATTTGCTTAAAACCACTTGCGTTTCTTTAGCGTGTGAGTATATATATATCTGTGATAATAATTATCCATTGATAATATGAAAGATAAATTATTTTTCTTGTATGCATGTTGCCTAAACGTTTTGTCGGACACTAAAACAATTCAAAGTTCCATATAAATCGCCAATAACGACTGAAAAGTGGTTTGAACATTTTATAACTTTACTTGACACTCCTGAACATGATTTAAATGAGGCATGAATATGTAATCTCAGAATTGTTTCAGACTTGCCCAAGACATTTTTTTACCATATATGGAACATGTATTTAATATACTGTAAGTAAGGCCACTTTACACGGTGCACTGGCGTAGTTATTCCATTGCATGGAAAAGGTTCGTCTCCCCGATCAATTACAGAGGAATAACATTGTTAAGTGTTTTTAGAAAGACATTTACAGCAGTACTAAATAATAGGTTAGCTTATTGGTCCAACGCTTGAGATAATATTGTGGAATCACACGCAGGTTTTACAACGCTATAGCACTATTGACAATATTTATATTTTACAAGCGGTCCTCCAACATTACCTGTCAAACAAAGTGGAAATTATATGAAATTATTGTTGACTTTTTGAAGGCATTGTCCTTGTATATAGACTTAATTAATAATGGAATATGTTAACAAATTATGGAATATATTTAAAATGACTTCGAGCTTCGCAATCTATTTACAAATGTGTTAAAGGCTTTGCTAGCTACTTCCCATACTTTTGAGTGTCCTTTAGGACAAAGACAAGGCTGTGTTTTAAGTCCTCTATTATTCACTTTTTTAACAAATGAAGTAGCAACTGGCTTCCTGTGCCAGTTCCACCCTGAACCTGTTTTTATTGTTATTTGCATATTGTGTTATCATGATTTCTGATATAGTGTACGAGCTACAAAGACGCATCAATGCTTTAAAATCTTGTTGTGACAATTACCGTTTCTGTGTTTATTTTGATAAGACAAAGGTGAGTGAGAATGGAGGAAGAAGTATGATGGACAACCCGCTTGTTTGTGTACCTATATAAATACTTAGGATTTACGTTTACTAAATCTATATCATGGTCCAAACATGTTAAAGATGTTCCCTTGCAAGCTAGAAGGATTCTATATGGTGTTTTTAAATGTGTGTCAATACTAAAACCGTTACCGTTTCTTTTATTCTTTCAAAATATTTGACGCAAAGACGAGTCCAATTTTACTTTATGGGGCAGCAGAATGGGGTGTAAATCGTGAATTATTTGAAGAAATTGAAACTGTACATATGTTGTCATGTTAGCGCCTGCAGAGTGTAAATCTACAACTGCAAATGATGTTGTTAGAGGTGAATGTGGATGATGCCCACTATATACGCGTTGTACAAGACTGTTGTGAAGCTTAATGTATGCCTGACTCCAAAATCAAATGTCAGAAAATTCAAAATTTCTTTCTTATATATGTGACAGTGTTTCATTTTATACAATTGATATTATTGTATGAAGCCTAAATCATGTGATGGGATTGTGACTCTAATTCACATAACAATTTGTTTCTACGAACTAGCAGTATTTTATCAATACAGTTATTGTGTGGATAGTCTAAAATAGTATACTGAAAGGTCAGACCGTCGAAAAGGTCATTGCAAACCAAAATAAGTATACTGTCGTGCAAAAGAAAATATACACCCATGCTTGATGGTGGTTATTAATGAAACAAACAAGAAATGGTATTCGATGGTGATGTATTTGATACAGGTATCTTGGTTGTGTTTGGAACCTTATATAAGCTTGCAGTGTTTCGATGACTGTCTTCAGCCTAGTAACGTGTTGATGATGTCTGTCCTGTTGTGGTCAAATATTTTGTCCGGCAGTTTATAATACTCATAAAAAAGTACCGCCTTGGTATTACTGATATGCCCTGGTCCAACGCTTGTGTTATGAAATCCTACAGCCGCACGTTGTTTCTAGTGTGAATCAGGCTGACGTCACTTTCAACACAACATTGCTAGACGCTATACATCACGAGTCCAAGCAGCATTATTTGAGAACCAAAACATATAGGTTCCACGTAGCCTCAGATTGGAACCTAACAAAAACACACGCGGGATGAACTGGTGCGACATCGTCATCCTGAACCAGAGACGGTGCAATAGGTACGTACACTACAGCCTGGGTTGGCTAACATTCCCCAACGTGTGATCAGTCCATTTCCTTCCGTAATGTCTTCATATTGGACAGTGTCCACTGCTGTCCTGTGTGAAATATGTCATCACTCATGTGTTCAGATGTGCAATAAATGTGTGACCCCCAACATCAAATATCTGATTATTTCAATATTTGCAGGAGGATATGGGAGATCGTGCACGTTACCTGCGTTAATGCAACTTCATCCTCATTCACACATTTGTCAGTTTTACAGTCACAGGCAGTC